CCCCCCCCCCCCCTTCCCCAAAAGGTTTAAATCTCCTTGGGTAGAGAAGGACCATTCAATTAGCGGAAGATAGTAAAGGATTTTAAGTTGGGTGGTTCCTGCAGAAAAGATGAGATGATCTTTTAAAGGTGTTTAACTGTTAGCTGAAAACCTTCAATTTAATGTTTGATTTCACGATTTTCGGGAACTTTGAGTATTAATCACTTTTTCTGATGCATCCTTATGTTTTAAGAAAGCATGATGAATATTTGAAATCAAAACTGTGATGGGCACGCGGGATAATAGTAACCTTGTAGGAGAAAAGATTGCAGCATTGCTCCTGGAGTCTATTTCTTCTCTGTCCTTGCTTTCTCAAGATGATTCACACATACCACGGTGTACTGAGCTGCAGTAGGAAAAAAGAAAAAATCTTGTTTAATAAAACCATCAAAATCCAGATACTCTGCATCTCGATTGTTTTGTAATTTGGCAGGTTTTTAATTTTTCAGTTTGTATTTTATTGCAAACCAGAGATAACACATACCACTTGAAGTGTAAATTTGCTGCATTTTGCAGCAGACCTATATTAAATTTGTGAAACTTAAAACAAACTTTGTGACGTCTACGGTTTTGTCCTGCTACATTTTCAACTTAAGGCACCGGTTGCCACATTCCATTCCATGGCAGTGTAGTTTGAAATTTATTCCTAAGTGATCATTAGTTGGTAGGACATGGTTCAGATTTCTTCACCCATCAGTAAAATTTTCTTCAAAAATCTGTGTTTTGTATTTGTGAAAATGTTGCTGTATAATCCAGGTTTGCACTGTTAACTTCAGATAGACTGCCATGTAATTTTTAAGTTACATTTTTTTATTTGGAAATAATTTCAAGTTTATGGAAAAATACCAAGAATAAGAATAATGCAAAGAATATTCTTGTAACCTTAACTCAGAGTCACCTGTTACCATTTTACAGTTTATCATTTACTTTCTTATTGTCACACACGTGTTTTTTTCCTAGACCACTTGAGGATAAGTTACATACACCATAGTTCTTTACTCTGACATAATTCAGCCTGGAAGACCATGTAAATTTCACATTTTGGCTTACTTGTCATGCTTGGAATAAAATTCTAGGAAGGAGAGGCTTGGTCTGGTTTTCAATAAAGAATAAGACTATCAAAAGTATCTAAGCTGCTTAACAGTTATTAGTATACAAACAGCATAGAAAGTGAGGTTGAGTGGTTTTTCTGTATTAGAATCAGGTTCTGGAAGTTATAATTGGCCAATGTGTTGAGTTTTTTTTTCCTCTGTAGTTAACCTCCTCTTTACATGTATTCCTCTGTCTTCTTTTCTTTTGTACACTTTGAGCACTGGATATCGGATCATTTATGTGTACAGATCATAATAAAAGTCTAGATATTGCAAAATTGAGTTTTGTTGTTATTAGACTGAATAGTGGAGACATGCATGCTGTCATCAGATCACATCTAGATATATTCATGCCTTTTCTAGATACTCAAGAAAAGATTAGGTGTGTGTATAGAATTCATAATAATTATAATTTATATTTTTGTGTCATCGATTTTGAGTAAATTCCTCAATTTCTATATAGGATCCTTGCCATTATTGTTTTAGAGATCAGGCCATTTGTTATAGGAGTATTTTTAAGGAGTTGAGTCTTTATTTATAATTTAACATAATGGAGGGAAGGGGACTTGGAACCAGACAAAACTGAGTTTTAATCCTAGTGATGTGACCATGGAGAAGTGACCCAACTTCTAGAAAAATGGGGATATCACCTACATCCCAAGGTGATGAGGATTAAATGAGGTAATATAAATATGGCAAAATAGGGTACCTGATATTTAAAATTGGTGTCTGATAACTATTTCCTTTTTTATTTGGCTGGTAATATGTATGTGGGTGCTTTCCCCTGGAATGGATCATGGAGTGAGACTTCTCTAGACTATATCATAGATTCTTTGTTGTTGTTTAGTCGCTCAGTTGTGTCTGACTCTTGCAACCCCATGGACTGTAGCCTGCTAGGCTCCTCTGTCGGTGGGATTCTCCAGGCAAAAATACTGAAGTGGGTTGCCCTGCCCTCCTCCAGGGGATCTTTCCAGGGATCGAACCCAGGTCTCCTGCATTGGCAGGTGGATTCTTTACCACTGAGCCACCTCGGAAGCCTTCATAGTCTCTTGGGCACTGTTAAAATATGTACTAAATTGTTCTGTTTTCTTACAGAAAAATAGTTATTTGTGGTGCTTTTGAAAAGAAATGAAAAACTTTTTTAAAAACACTTTTTAAGAAGCCCATGAAATTTTTAGAGTAAGAAGCTTTGAGTTGCTATTTTGTTTTGTAGTGGTTTGGAATCTTAAAAATGGGAATAGTAAATGTTTTGCTTTTCATATTGTCAGATAAGACATTAAAGTGAGGGTTGCCTGTCGGTTGTAGGATAGGTGTCAATATAAGATGTTGTATAGATATAATAATTTAATAATGCCATTTTATAAAGCAGGATTTAATTATTGAGGATTTAACAGATTTAATTTTGCACAGCTTTCAGTTAGTCAGATGAGCAGAATGTAATTCATAATACACACAGTGAGTGATAACAGCAGTACATTTCAGATTCTTGCTGGACCTTGAATTCTTCTTGAGTGGGAGGTCCTCTCCAGTTAGTGGTGCCTTGTCTCCATAAATCGTCCTGCCTGTTTTCATTTAGTAATCTGGAATCTGGAACTGCATGTCCTAATGTGCCTGACAGGGTATCACTCTAGGGCATTTTTGGGACACGTGAATAGGTTTCTCTAAAAGTACATAGTTGTAACTGGAATGAATGGTAGCTGGAAACCTTGACAGATGAAGGGAAGGTGGATTTTATGAAGCTGTAGGCAGTATAAAATGCTCTGTGTTTTATTGATATGACTTGATATTTTTATCAGATTCTTTTAAATATAGGACAGTAGATGTGGCATGTCTTTAAAGAAGAAATGAAGTTTAAAGAGATGTGCTATGGTGGACGTTCCAGATTGTCCATGGAATAGTTGAAATCTTTATATTGGTATAAATCTAGTATAACTTGTTTGTGAAAAAAAGTTAAGTTCAGAGTTTTTATCCTGTGACTTCCCAGAGTGCTGTTACAGACAGATTGGCTTCATGTTTTACTTTAAACAGGTCTTTATAATTGTGAAGGAAAAGCTTACAGAATTTTTTAAATTGTATGGTCCGTTTTGAGTGAATAGGTGCTTTTGTTTTTGCTTCTTCACAAAACTGCCTTTTGTATATCAGAAGATTAGAACTTCCCCTGTATTTTATTGTGCCTGTTTCTCAGGATCAGCCACCAGTGTTGCCAAACTAATGTTGAAGAAACACATGCAGGTCTATAGATAAGCATTTTTAACTTTTAGAGGCATACATGAAATAAAAACAAAATGAGATTTTTTTAACTTTGGTAAATTCTTATTAAATAATGTTAAATTCTGGGAAGCAAGGGATATTAGATCACTGAGATGCTTTTAGTAGTTAATTCGTATTTTAATGTCCAAATGAACTTTTTTTGTTTAAAAAAAGAAATTGGTTTGGTTTGTAGTTTTACATATTGGTGGTGTATTTTAACACCATTTCACTAATGCTATAATTTTTAATGATTTTCTCTTGAATAAAATATAAATGTTTGAGTTTCATAATTTACCACTTTCTAGCATTAATTATTTATTCCTGTTGAACAGGGAATTGATTTTTTTTGGGTTTGCCTAAATATATTAGTTAACACCTAAAGCATCATAGAATTATAGAACTTTAGAGTTGACCAGAACTGTCTTACTTACTGCCACATAACAAATTACGCCAGGAATTAATAATTTAAAACAGCAAATATTTATCATCCCCGTTTCTGTGAGTTAGAAATCTGGGTGCAGCTTGTCGGTGCCTGTGGCTCAAGGTTTCCTAGGAGGTTGCAGGAGAGCTGTTTCTGGGGCTGTGATCTCATCTGAAGGCTTGACTAGGGGAAGATCTGCTTCTGAGTCATTCATGAAACTCTTGGCAGGATTCAGTTTCTTGCAGTGTCTTGGACCAAACCTCAGTTTCTTTTGGGCTGTTGGCCCAAGGTGTCCCTCAGTTCTTTGCCACGTAGGTCTGTTTACAGGACAGCTTACAACGTGGCAGCTGGCTTTCCACAGAGCAAACAGGTGAGAGAAGGAGAGCAGGTGACATGCAGGAGGGTAATGATGGTCTTTTTATAACTCAGTCTTGGAAATGGTAGCTTGTTATTGCTGCTTTCCTCTATTCATTAGACGCTGCCTACCAGAGGACTTGGATTTACTTTCTAAAAATTAAAAAAGAAGAAAATAGAAGCAAGGGAAAGAACTCTTAAGATGCACAAAGTAATTTACCAAGGCTCAAAAGGTGATCTCCTGAAGAGCTTGGACTAAAATGCAAATTCACTGGTACTCAGACCTTGTGCTATTTCTAACAACATGCAGTTCTCTTGAGAAATATAAAAGCTGACATAGACGCTGAGGTCATTATTATAAGAAATATTTGAAAACTTTCAGAGTCATTTTGAATTGACTCTAGTTTGTCATCTTGAAAAAATGGTAGTCTAATATATACATATATACACACATGCATGTTCATATGGTGTCTGTATATACATATCTCAAGAACCTTTGCTTCAGAGGGAAAGTTCAGTATTAAAACTTTTTAGTATAAAAGTTTCTACACAAGTGATTGAATTTAACTTTTGCTGTATATAAAAGTTGTGATAATTTTTTGGGGGGACTGTAGATAATTTTTTGTTTAACTTCTAGCATTACAAGATCCATTTATTTATAAGTTTGGGTTTTCCTGCCCTTCATTGCTATCTTTCTTTTGGGTCATGGGAGTTGTGGGATCTTGTTTGATCCCTAGTAGTGAAACTATCGAACCGTGGCCCCTGTAGTGGAAGCACGGAGTCTTAACCCCTGGACTGCCAGGAGAGTCCCTGATATCTATTTTTAAGTTAAGTGTAGAAGAGATTTGCCACATGAAAACAATACAGCCATCGCAAGGAGTTCAGACCCATAAGGAAACAAATCCAAATGTAAGAATGGGATGTGTCACAGTGGTGATTTTCTTTTTGAAAATGTTATATAAAATTTTAATATGCATGCAGTTTTTCTGTAATGATATTAAAGCCAGAAACAGGAAGAAAAAACTAGGTAGCTTTACCATGTGCTCTTCTCCATTCCACCTAAGAGAGTATGTATGTTATGTCTTCAGGCTTAATTTATCTTATAGAGGATGGGAACAAAGCTATTTAAAACCTTACTGGAGCAAGGGAAGTATATATTAAATATTAATCTGAAACTTTTAGATTGTTTTAACAGCTTCACTTGTGCTGAAATTGTTGTAAACTCTAGAATCAGAAGAGACTTTGTTTAGCCTAGATCTGCTCTATCCAGTATGGTAGCTACTCGCCACGTGTGGTTAAGTTTAAATAACAGTAAAGGAAGTTTAAAATTTATTTTCTGATTTGTTTTAGCCACATTTCAAGTGTTCAGTAGCCACATGTGGCTATCAGTTTGGACAGTGAAGATCTAGAATATGTTTATCATCGTAGAAGTTTCTACGCTGATCTAGATCTGCTCCATTATATATTTGATTTTGGTCACGAACATGTGTTTAAAGTGCTAATCATTGTGATCACCAACTAAGTTGAACTTTTATTTCTTCATTTTCGTTTTCTAGTTTTTGGAGCCGTGAGGGATACAGCACTTTGGTCAATATTGTTTTAACATGCTTCAGATAAATCAGGTGAGTGTGTGTTAAGGCATGTCACTCTTATATGGTGCTTGGGCCATAAATCGCAGTGCATTTTAACTCAGCTTTTCTATAACCACAACCTTACCACCACTTTATAGAGCAATTACATACTATATATTTGTCATAGGGAGACTGCAGGGCAGGTTATATAAGAATTAGAGCAATAGTCCTGAACGCTGGTAAATTTTGAACAGCAGAAGGGTTGTCTGTTCTTTCTGATGTCACATCCCTCCAGGACTTGGTGTATTCAGGAGTCATGGTCTAGCTTCAGTAGGTGGCAGTTCTGCAGATTGGAAGCACTTCTAGTGACAAATCTTGTGAAGTCATTGTATCAGTGCTTTAAAAAAAGATTCCTTTTTCTGGGGTGCTGGAGAATGCTAAAAGGAAGTACTCTGCTAAATAAACTATAGCATATAATGCCTTAGACTCACTGTAAGAAAGTTTTCTTAGGTCTTGACATTTCTCCAAGAACTTTATACATTTAATCTTACCCTTTCTGAACAAAAAAGGGTATTGTATCATAACTGTAATTTTAGAAAATTACTTTTTTTCACATTTGCAAATCAAGAGAGGAGTAATTAATTTGACTGCAAGAAGAAATTGCATTTTTTTTGTGATTTGAGGGAGTAATACATGACCTCCCGGCTAATCCCCGCTCCATGAAGTTCACCTTGCCTAAGAAATCTCCAGTTCCCCTGCCTCACGTACCATTTCTGAGTCAGTGACTTCTAAGTTTATACCTCGTTGAGACCTCTTTTCTGAGCTCCAGACTTAAGGAGCAGTTACCAACTTGATCTCTTAGTGTGGATATTTCTACATCTTGGACTTAAATGTGTGCCTAGGAAACAGTCTAAATGCTTCAGTGAAACTAGACTCTTTCAGGTCCTAGATTAAGCATGGTTGTTCCTGCTTTCTCTCCCTGGACCTCTTCTCACTCTCCCCCCACCCGCCTCTTGCCCTGTGCTCCGTTCAGTTGACTCACAGGCCTGGGATGTGCTCTCATAACACCCTGCCCTTTTATTTAATGACACTCTGACATTTGAAATTCTATTCAAGTAGGTAATGTTAATTAACATCTGTCTTCCTTGTTACTTTGTTTACTGCTGAATCCCCAGGTCCTAGAACAGTTCTTACTGTCTGTGCTGTGTACGTTATTTGCAGGATGAGTGGGTGAATGGTGCTAGGGTTGCCACTAAAGCAAGGAGATCTCCATTCTCATCAACAGTAACCACAGTTGTGTTGTAAGTTTTGGTATTGTATGATGCTGCTTCATGCAGATGCCATTAATGTAAATCTCTCCCTTATGCACAGTTGAGCTTTGATTTTCTCCTTGAATTAGGCAGTTTTCTTGTGTAGCAAATACGCTTTCCTCAAAGACGTTACTCACGCAGGCTAAAGGGAATGGACTGTGCTTAATGCTTCCCGTGCCTTCAGGGTTGCTGTCAAGTCCCACTGGCTGTGTTGATGGCGCTTTATGGGATGTGACTGACAAACTACACTGTCGGTGCGAAGTTCCCCCTAAGTGACTGTGTGGATGCTGCTGTTAATTATATGGATGCAATAATTCTACCATAGATAGGTAGAAGTTGTCATTTGTTCTACGTCAGACCACATCATTGAAAATTATGGTTTATGGGTCAGTCCTAATGAGGATTTACTAGCCCTCAATGCTGCTGGTCGTGTTGAGCCAGGCCTTGCAGACAACAACTAGGCAACATTCTGCATGGCCACAGCAGTTCCTGCACTTTGGCTAGAAATTGTCCACAGTGCCAGGAGATAGACATGCTTTGCTTGTAACAAATAAGGATTTCTCAGCTCGCTTCAGGACCCTCTCATTATTGATTAAGTTTTATCCTCCCAAACTGTTCAAGTCTGAGAGAAAAAACTAAACCTAATTTGGATTAGTAGAAGTTATAGAGAACACTTCCTCTTTGGCCAAACCTAAAGTCACATTGAACTTTTAAACTTACAAGCGATTTTTGTTTTATTATTTTTATGGTGACTGCTTTCGCATTAGAGAGTTCGCAAGATAAATGTGAAAAGGCATGAAAAGGCAATTGAAGCTGGCACCTTGCAGCAGTTGAGATTTTTCACTTTGTGATTTTCAGTAGTATCTTTATGATTAGTAGATAAATTTTTATTTGGGAGGTCTTTTGTTTCTTAAAATGCCTGATTAGTACTAGCAAATTATTCCATATGTGTTCCTAGAACTAATTAAAAACTAGAGTATTGAATACTGAGTTACTTGGTATCCTCTTTGATATTGTATCTAGCTGACATTATTGTTAGGGAATATAGGAATGTACCATGTTCTGTCATAATGATACTTCTGCCTTTAAATTGTTCTTCTCATTTTTACTTTAACCTTAAAAGTGTGTGTTCTTATCCATTTGCAACTCATGCAGAAAAATTAGGTGGTATAGATATGTAAAAAGGAAAAAAAATCACCAATAATTTCATTATTCTTTTACAGAAATAATCACTGCTAACATTTTGGGGTGTATACTTCTAAATTTTTTTCTATGCAGGTATGTTTTTATGTGAATATTATTTTAAAAAACTGGGATTATGTAATACATAATACTCTGAAGTGATTTAATCCATAGTTTGAAAGTACTGAAATTTATTTAATCAAATCCTTATTGTTGGACAGATTTTTATATTATAGTTAATGCCACCATGAATATTTTTTTATATACACCTGTGTTCCTTTGTCCATTATTTTCTTGCAATTAATTATTAGAAATGGAAATACTATTCAAAGGAATATGCAGATTTTAAAGATATTTGATGCATAAATACCAAATATACAAAATTATATCTATTAGAAGTTTATCAGAATGCCTGTTTCCTTATTTCTGTGACAAATTTTCTGTCTCTGTCAATCTGTCTGACAAAAAGTGATATTTTAATTTGAATTTCTATGATTTGCTTATATTCTTCTGTGTTTTGGCTTTTGTGAATTGCTTATATGTTTTCACTGGCATCTTTATATTTTTATTTGTAAAAATTCTTTGGATTATATCCCCTTCAGAATTTTTTAAGTCAGTCATTAGTTTATTTTTTTTCATTCACTGTACTAAGAGTTTGGATCTTTCTTCCTGATGATTAATTACTAGCCCTTAGGGCTTACTGGTGGCTCAGATGGTAAAGAATCTGCCTGTGATGCAGGGGACCCAGGTTTGATCTGTGGGTTGGGAAGATCCTCTCGAGAAGAACATGGCAACACACTCCAGTGTTCTTGCCTGGAGAATTCCATGGACAGAGGAGCCTGGTGAGCTATAGTCCATGGGGTTGGGAATAGTCGGACATGACTGAGTAACTAACCCTTTTACTTTGAGGGAAAGGAAACTGTTTGAACATTAAGTTGCAGCAAATATAAATTGAGAAGCCACATGTGCTGTGCAATGATACTTGAAAATTAGTGACCGAAACAGGGTAAATGTTTTTGGATTAGTTGGCGAGGCACACCTGACTGGGCAGTATGTTCCAAGGGGTTGGGAAGTCTGTTTTAGGCAGCTGTGGCATTGGGAGAGCCCAGCAGCAGGGATTTATAGAAGTCTAAAGTGGTGATTCCTTCTAAAGAGCTTTGGCAGTTGCTGTTGGGAACATGGAAGCTAAGGGGAAGCTTTAAGGCCTGATTCAAGTGAAGTAGGAGAATAGGGAGGACAAAATAGAGTTCCAGTGCCAGAAAAGTAGAGAATCTTGTAGAACAAGAGGGAGCCAGGTATTATATAGAAAGAATAAAGTTGTATCAAGGTATACTGTAAAGTGTAAAGCCAGGGTTTGGTCATTAAGAAACAAAAGGTCTAAAGTTTAAGGGATAATGATAATATCCCACAGGTCTGTTGTGAGGAGTAATTGGGATAACAAAAATTACTGTGATTGGTATTGTTGCTATTGTTGCTCTGGAGATTGTTGAGAAAGGAGGGCAGATGTTTAAGTTGGTCAACAGAGAAAGTAATTGTGTGGGGGAGTGAAGCGCTTGAATGTTTCTCAAGTCAGGTCAGCTACAAGTGCTCTCCTCCTTCTTACCATATGCCCCAGAACTGTCCTTTTCACTTAAAAGCTGCTGGTACTTACTCTGAGTTATTTTTCTTCCAAGTCTGGCTTTGGAGTAGGGTCTACAACCTGCCCATCCCTTTTTAAAGTCATAGGATGCAGTTAGAGGATTAAAAAAAGTAGTAATCACAGGGAGGTTAAAATGTTTAAGAAGGATTTTGGCTTTCTGCCCTGCTGGCATAACAGGATTTGTCCTCTGGATAGCCAGCTTCCAAGATAGCCCCCAGTGATCTCTGCCACCCTTGTGTTAATCCTCTGTCAGGTCTGGCCAATAGGATATGGTAGAAGGGATGGATCATTTCCAAGGATGGGTTATAAAAGCCATTATGGAAGACTTCCCTGGCAGCCCAGAAGGCTGTGTGCTTCCACTGAGGTTGTACAAGTTCAGTTCCTGGTGAGAAACTAGGATCCTGCATGCTGAGGAGTGTGGCCCCCAAAAGGAAAAAAAGAAGTTTCTCTTCTCTCTCCCTCTGTGTCATCCTGCATTGCTCACTCTGAGAGTAGTTAGCTGCCATGTTGTGAATAGCTCACTGGAGAGCCCACATGGTGAGAAATTGAGGTCTCCTGCCAACAGCTAACAAGGAACTGAGGCCTTTAGCTTACGTTGTGTGACTGAGCCTTTTCGGAAGCAGGTCTTCTAGCCCTTGTGAATCTTCCATACCAGAGACTGCTGGCCCACCAATGTCTTGACTGCAGCACCATGAGAGATTCTGAGCCAGAACCACTAAGCCAAGCTGCTCCTTGATTGCTGAACCTTAGAAAGTAAATTTTAAAAATGCTTATTTTTTGAGCTGCTAAGTTGAGGGTAATTTGTTATGCAGCAATAATATACTCCTGCTTACAAAACTTGAGAGAATATATCTGTATGTGTGTGTGTGTGTGTGAATATATGTGAACAATGGTTTTCAGACATTGGATGACAGGTGGCAACAGACTGTGATCCCTGAAAGAATAGAAACAAATGAAGTTAAGCCCTTCTATTGGCAGTAGTTTATAACAGAGCCTAGAGGTTGTTTGTATGCTGCAGTAGAAGGAGGACGAATCAAAACAGAACCAAGTTTTGTTGAGATTAGGAAACAAAGACAAGAGTTTGGGAAGGCCAAGGTAGTTAGAATTGTAGGTCAGAGTACCAGAGAGAACGGAGCTGTGGGAAGAAGTGGCAAATATATAATTAAGAGTGCAGTCAAGGCTGCAGTCCATGGACACAGCTGAGCGACTTCACTTTCACTTTTCCCTTTCATGCATTGGAGAAGGAAATGGCAGCCCACTCCAGTGTTCTTGGCTGGAGAATCCCAGGGACGGGGGAGCCTGGTGGGCTGCCGTCTGTGGGGTCGCACAGAGTCAGACACGGCTGAAGCGACTCAGAAGCAAGTGTGTATGCATTCTAGAGAGCTGCAGAGGGTTCTTCTTGAGTCTTTGGCTCAGTTCTGATCTGTAGATTCATGACAGGACCTAATCAAAGTCAGGAAAAGAACTGCTGGAGAGCAGTAAGAAAAGAATTTCTGGAGCTCACACAAAGCTGGGAATAGTTTGTGTTTTCACTGTCTAGGTTATAAAGACCTTGTAATACATAGGGTATTGGAAAGTCTTCAGAAGACTCCAAGTGATCCAAGTAATTTAACTGTGCACCACAACAAAGTCCAAAGCTATATAGAGGAATGCCGTACAATCCAGAATCTCACATGTAAAATTCACAGTGTTTGTCATCCAAAATTAAAATGCTTGCCTCACCTTGAATAAGGGATAAATCATCTAGACAGAAGATCAGTAAGGACACAGAGGACATGAACAGCACTATAAACTAATTAGACCTAATGGACATATAAAAAGCATTCAGCAACATCAGAATACAAATTCTTACCAAGTGTACATAAAGCATTCTCCAGGAATAGGCCATAGGTTAGGTCACAAAACAAACCTCAGTATGTTTTGAAAGATGGAAATCATACAGAGTATCTTCTCTGGTCACAGCGGAATAAGGCTAGAAATCAATGACAGAAAGAATACAAAAAAAAAATCACAAATGTGTGGAAATTAAACAACATACTCTTAAACAGCCAGCAGATCAAAGGAGAAATCATAGGGTAAGTAAGCAAATAATTAAAGACAAATGAAGGCTGTATATTGTCACCCTGCTGATTTAACTTACATGCAGAGTACATCATGTGAAATGCTGGGCTGGATGAAGCACAAGCTAGAATCAAGATTGCCAGGAGATGTAATCAATAACCTCAGATATGCATATAACACCGTCCTAATGGCAGAAAGCAAAAAGCCACTGAAGAGCTTCTGATAAAGGTGAAAGAGGAGAGTGAAAAAGCTGGCTTCAGACTCAGCATTCAAAACACTAGGATCGTGGCGTCCAGTCCCATCACTTCATGGCAAACAGATGGGGAAAAATGGAAACAGTGATAGACTTTATTTTATTGGGCTTCAAAATCACTGTGGACAGTGACTGCAGCCATGAAATTAAAAGACACTTGCTCCTTGGAAGAAAAGCTATGACAAATCTATACAGTGTATTAAAAATCAGTGACATCACTTTGCCGACAAAGGTCCATATAGTCAAAGCTATGATTTTTCCAGTAGTCATGTACGGATGTGAGAGTTTGACCATGAAGAAGGCTGAAGTGCTGAAGAATTGATGCTTTTGAACTGTGGTACTGGACAAGACTCTTGAGAGTCCCTTGGACAACAAGGAGATCAAACGAGTCAATCCTGAAGGAAATCAACCCTGAATATTCATTGGAAGGACTGATGCTGAAGCTCCAATACTTTGACCACCTGATGTGAAGAGCCAGTGCATTGGAAAAGACCCTGATGTTGGGAAAGATTGAGGGCAGGAGAAGAGAGTGACAGAGGATGAGATGGTTGGATGGCATCACTGTCTCAATGGACATGAGTTTGAGCAAACTCCAGGAGGCAGTGATGGACAGGCAAGTCTGGTGTGCTGCAGTCCATGGGGTTGCAAAGAGTTGGATATGACTGAACACCTGAACAACACAGACAAATGAAAATAAAAATACAGTATACTATAACTTAAGGGATTCAGTAAAAGCAGTGCTCAGTGGGAAATTGATAGCAGTAAACACCTACATTTAAAAAGGACAATCTCAAACAAACAACCTAACTTTTTACTTTGAGAAAACCAGAAAAGGAGTAAATTAACCCAAAGCTAGCTGAAGAAAGAAAATAATAAAGGTTAAAGTGGAGATGAAGTAGAGAATGGAAAGCAATATAGAGAATCAATGAAACTAAAAGTTGGTTCTTTGCAAAGATCAGCTAAACTGACAAGTTGAATTGACAAAAAAAGCAAAGATGCATATAAATCAGAAATGAAAGTGGGGACATTACCATGACCTTAAAGAAGTAAGAGAATTATTAGAGAGTATGATGGCATATAGTGCAGTTGTATGCCAACAAATTGGATAACCTACATGAAATGGACAGATTTCTAGAAACACAG